TATTGATTTGAGCCCAGCAAGACAGTAGGTGCTGCTCCCCACCAATAGATGGAGCCTCCCCGGGAGTGCTAACGGTGCCCTCTCACATCAGCACCCCTAGCATTAACTCGCGCTGTTAAAAATAAATAAATAAATAATAATAATAATAATAATAAAGGATTCGAATTTCGAACTCAGGTCTGCTTATCACCAGTTCATGGGTGTACCATTCAGAGATTTATTTGTTCATTGGGCCCCTGCAGGATTTGAACCCAGGTCTGTTTATTAACTCGGCACACTGGCACACGGGATCTGCCCTCGCCGCGAGAGCAGCTTGGGCTGACCACCGGCAGCCAACGACATCGAGGCGCAGACCCCTAGGCCCAGCCCTAAGATGCAATCCTTTTCCCAAGGTTACGGATCCATATTGCCGACTTCCCTTACCTACATTCTTCCTTTGACCTGAGGCTGCTCACCTAGGAGACCCGATGCGGTTATGAGTACGGGCGCGCGTGAGAGGTCACAAATCAGAGTTCATCTGGTCGAATAAGGATTCAAAACTCAAACTCAGGTCTGCTTGTCAGCAGATCATGGGTAGTATATTTGCTTCATGGCCCTTGGCAGGATCTTCCCCCCCCCCGTTTTTTTTCCCTTTCTTTTAACCCAAACCAGGTTTATGGCTGGCGTGAACCTGGCCATCAGCATCCTGACCAGGTTCATGCTAACTTAGCGCAGCGATGCAGGTTAGATTTTTCGCGTGCAGGTTGTGAATCTGTGGATCTGCTTTGGTTTCCACGACAGCATTATAGCCATGGAGTACAGGTGGCTCAGCTTGAGAAACTTGTCATGTGGCTGAAGAGCATTGCCTACGTTGAGGAACAGCTCAAATGTGGCTGTGTTATCACGTTAAAAAAAAAAAAAAAAAACACAAAAGAAACGTCCAGCTGTGTGATCGATCATCAAAATGCAGGTTTGGTGGCGCTGATGTGTGCCAGAGCACAGGCCAAATTGCAGAGAGTGCAGAGCTGACCAAACGAGCACAGCTTTTGCTTTTCTTTCTTCTTCCTATCTTCTCGGGGTTGGGGGCGGGGGATTAACAACATATGCACAGCTGTTGTTGATGTGGGACCACTTATGATGTCATGCAGCCGGATCTCCCTCATTCTCCCACTTTCCCCCACTTTGCTCCACCTCCCCCCTTTTGTTTTTTCCTTTTTCTTGCTCCCTCCCTCTGTTTTCTCATCCTGGATCAGAGAGAGAGAGAGAGAGAGAGAGAGAGAGAGAGAGAGAGAGAGAGAGAGAGAGAACACATTGATAAAAAACTCAAAAGTTTTCTTTAGATATTGATAAAAAGTTTTCTTTAGATAGAAACTCATTAGAAAGCGTAAAAAAAGAAAGGAAACACCTACAACAGACGCGATAGCTGCAACAGCTCTTACAAAAGGAGTTAAAACTTAGAAGGGGAGGAAAAGAACAGTCATGGGCGGTTCTTTGTTTGGCCAAAGAAATCTGACCTTTCTGTTTCTGTCTCTGGAATGCAGATAGCTGAGGAGGATGCTGTATGGTCCCCAGATGCTCTTCTGGCAGAGGTAAGCGAGAAATTGAAACATACTATGCTGTAATTTTTGTTGCATATACCGCTCATCTTACGATGGTGGCTGGCTTGGCACCTGAGAAATTGAAACATACGATTCTGTATTTTTGTTGCATTATTAATTTACTAGCGCGGTGTGGGCGGTGCGGGCGGTGCGGGCGGTGCGGGCGGTGCGGGCGGTGCGGGCGGTGCGGGCGGTGCGGGCTACGCCCGCAGAAATAACAAATGCAGTGGGTGACCTCACACTGCATTTCGGATGGCTGTCCACCAAGATGTTCGTCCGCAGAAACAACGACGGCCTACTGGGGGGCACAATAGGACAGCTGCGCGAGAAATGAAAAAAGAAGGAAGGAGAAGAAAAAAAAAGAAAAAAAAAGGGGGACACAAAACGACAGGTGCGAGAAATGGAAAAAGGAGAATGGGGACACAGAACGACGGCCAACCGGGGAAACCCAAAAAAAAGAAAAAGCCGCCCACTCGCCTCCAAGATGTTAGTCCGCATCAACGCCAGCCGTGTGTCCCGTCCCCTCGGGGCACGTGTAATCGCGCGCTGTGAACATTTCGGTATGCACACCCCTCTGCACACTCCCCTGCCCTGGATCGCCTTCATCCGCCACCCCTCACCAAAACTTCGACCTGAATCCGGCGCGCAGCGCGTCATGGACCTTCCCCCGCGGCCAACGCTGCTTAAGGGATAGGATTATTCACTTATTTTACCACTCAAGCTGCTTTGCATTACTTCTCATCACTATATCGCTGTCTCACGATAGTGGCTTGCTTGGCTAACCGATCCATTTTCCACTCAAGCTGCTTTGCATTACGTCTCATCACTATATCGCTGTCTCACGATAGTGGCTTGCTTGGCTAACCGATCCATTTTCCTTCCATGTCATTGTTATCATATTATGAGGCCGGTGTCAGATTACTAAAGTGAATGTCTTGGCTACCGGTAGTGCAATGAGTCCATCAGTCATGAGAAGCTTCCTCAAAATGATTCTGCAAGCATCCACAAAGCACTCAGAGTGGAACCGTGCACAATGCACGATAAGTCCAGAGGCACTCAATGTAGTCCAAGAAAGAGATTCGCTGGAAGTTAGACAAAGGTAGAGATTCTAGAGAAGTTTTCTTAATAATCAATAGTACAATTGAAATGGCTCTTCCACCCCTCTTCACCTGTGGGACCTTCTCCTACCAACTCGCCACCTCAGCATGCAAGTGCAATGACTTGCTGGTTTCAGTGGCCTGTAGCCTATCTCGTCGAGGCTGTACCATAGGTAGATTAGATTCGTATTTTTGTTTGGCTGAGGGCTAACAGAGAGACTTGCATCTTGAGGGACATATCTGTAAATGTGGGAAAATACAGGCCCGTACTAACTGAAGTTTCCTACAGCTACCCTGACTGCGAATAGCAGGCCCGGTCTACCCCTAGGACAGACAGGCCCTAAAGGCCTATCCTGATAGACGGTCCTATAGCCTATAGCCGGGGAGGTAGAGGCCGAGAGGCTGAAAAAAGGAAACGGTACCGGTCGGTCCAGTCAGTCCGGTCTAGGCCGTGTCTAGGCTAGTGTAGTCTATAGATAGATTGTAAACATGGGTTCAGGGCTTTTGGCAGTTGGTACCGTGTACATCGCTGCTGCACAACGCACGAACTGGAGTTGTAACAGCTCTGCGTTGGAGGAGACAGACATAGCCAGACCTGCGGAGTGTCGACCATAGCTGGGGCCTATGCTGTACTCTGACAGCACGCGGGGCTGTTCAGAGGCCCGGACTATCAGAAGTCTGCTGGAGGCGAGAGAAGTTGGTGCCCTGCTGAAAACTCCTCAGGAGTAGGGTGTCAGAGTGTGTGGCGCTGCAGCCATAGATGCAGCTTGTCTTCCTCAGAGATCATCTTTGTCAGGAGTGGTGGCGCTGCTACAGACTTCCACCTGGGAAGTCTTCTGGCACTTCATCATCATCAGATACTGTGGTGCTGGTCTTCTTCTTCATCCTCTGAGAGGCGCTTGGCCTCAGAGCCCTGTTTCAGGGTGGCGCTTCCCTCTGGAGGCAGTATATGGGTGGCGCTTGATGTTTCAGGGGCTCAGGGGTAGTGATAGCGGTTACTCAGGGTTGGGGAGTGAAGCGCTGCTCATTTCTGAGCAGCGCACCATGGTACTGGGCTTATTCTGACATTTTGAGACTCTGAGTTTAATAAACAGTGTGTTTACTGTGTGTGGACTATCACCTTCCTTCTGTGTATGTATGGGCATACCTGGAAGTCTACGTGAGCGAGTGTTGGTCTGCTGATAACAAACAACCAGGTTCATAACACAAGTCTATCCCTGCAGGTAGCAGCTATGGCAGCCAACCTCCAGCATCAATGCTGGCTATGGAGGTTGGCGCCGACCTCTCTTCAGCCTCCTGATGTGACCAGCAGCTCCAGTATCACCAGCGCTAGGTAAGTCAAGGTAAGCTTCCCCCTGTCATTCTCTCTCCTTACAGCCTTGATCACCCTCTTCCTCGCCCTACCTCTAAGCTAGAGCTATGGCGCCTGGCACCCTTCCTAGCCATGGCTACCACTCTTTCTCGCCTTCCTGGGCTGGCGCTGACTTTTCCTTTCTGGTGCCAGCCTCTCCTCTCCTGTCCTCTCTACCTTGCTCAGCAGGGCTCTGGCCACCAGCCAGCGTGTGCAAGATGGAATGAATGAGCTGCGCAGGCTGACCACTCTCGTTCTTTCTTTCTTTCTTTGTTCGTTTTTTTTGTTTCTTTTGGTTCATCATCGGCGACGGGGTGTTGGGGGGGTGCTGATAAGAGCAGACACCCCCTCTACTGTTCCCGCTCTTGGATGGCTCCGTTCCATTGGTGGGGAGCTGCACTTGCTGGAAAACAGGTCCAGCGTCCGTTTACATCATAACAAGGAGCCAGAATTACATTACATGTTATACATGCAGTTATGTCAATTTATATGTGATCAGCAGAATTGATTGCCCTCTTGCAAGGGGATTGACTGCCCATCAACCTCAGAAGTGGACTAATGCCTATCTTCAACCGCTATTACGTGTGTCGTCTACTCCTACTGCGCCGACGCACGGAGTCTCCACCCTACCCCCGCCACATGGTGGAATCCCAGCCCTCACTCACCCTTCCTTCCACAAGACGAGAGCATCCCCGAGCCCCTCCCACCCAGAGAATCTACTAAATTGCCCCTACCAGGCATTACCCTACAAGCATCTTCTTCAGAGTCCATACCTCCATATACCATATGTCTATTATCCCCGACGGTAAAGTATAAGCGGGCACATAGTTGTCTTCGTCAGCATCTCAAGTCCGCCTCAGGAGGTTATTGCTGTAGTCATCTCAACTAGCCAGCATGTCAGGAGAGGAAGGCAAAGAGACCCCCCTGTCGACAAACTTCCACTGTCATACTGTTCTGATCAATGAGGGGCGGAAAAGGAGAATTTTCATTGTCCTTTATCCCCGTTGATCCTTGTTCCTCAACTTTCTTTTCATTATATCTGGAATCTTGTCATTTGCTGCACCAAACGGCCATTCCTCCAGGGCAACCGACGTGGCAGGGGTCCAGGGGTCCACGTCACATCCCTGCTATTCTAATTAGGCCTCACTACACAGCGAAGGGAAGAGAGTTAACTGACGAGGGAGTGGCCAATCTCAACGCCCAAATCAGTCAGCGTCTCTATATCAGGGGGCAGTTCTTTTTGTCCCCCGTCAATCCCTTCCCCCTATCCGATACCTAACCTGGCCATCACTGTCCCCGTTGTTTGCAACTCCGAACCTCACCCGTGCCCTGCAGGGGCCAACCCAAAAAAAATTCAAAAGATACAAAAACGGGAAAGCTCCCTAATCGTCACATTTCTGAGATCCCAGGAGATCCAGGGAAAATCCGCTCCCCCAAAAATGGCAGGTGTGGTACACCTACCGCTCAATCCCTTTGAAACGCTTGCAACGTTCGCCACGGGGATGGCCACCTCCCCCACATGCCTGTGAATACTGGCCCGCAGGGAAAGGGGCTGGCAATCGTGAGCAACCCGGGATTTCTTGACGCCCACCATATCCATCGTCTGGGAGGCATCTGCGTTCATCGTGCCGTGTAGCTGGCGTTGTCCCTTGATTGCATCCGTCTCCTGAAGTTTCCAATCATTGATGAGTTCATGCCTCTGGTCGCTGCAGCCGCCCTTATTCTTCGTGCAACCAGACTTCTGAAAGTCGTGCCCCTCCATCATGCCTCTGGTCGCTGCAGCTGCCCTTATTCTTCGTGCAACCAGACTTCCGAAAGTTGTGGCCCTCCATCTTAACAGCGGCCGGGTTGCCGCCTTCCGGCCATTGTAGTGCAATCGGGCAAACAACAGCCCCTTGTAAGTTGTGGACACTGATTGCAGGCCGTCTTTTCGCAAAGATTATTTGAAGCTTCTCCATTAGTGTGAGGCACTCTTGAATGCTGCTCACCACCTTCTCGCCATTGAAGCTATATTGTCGTTAAGAGTAAATATCTGTTAGCAGTTCGTCCTCCCATCCATCAAAGTCCCCTCAGCCTCCCGGAGAATCTCTAGTGTCAGGCTATGCACTGCAGGGTTCTGCGGGTCAGGAGGGTTGCCCTGTGCACCCTCGGTGTTCATGAGCCCTCTCTTAGTAACCATTGCTCCTACCTCTCTCTCTCGTCGTTGTTGCCGGGTCTCCACAGTCATATCCAGCTTGGTTATCTCGTTCGTCGATGTCGTTGAAATGCTCCCGATGAGAAGGCGCTGGCATCACCAGCAGCAGGCTATCAAATGCTTGGAGCATCTATCGCCTCTTCCATTTGTTGCTTGTAAATACTAACGATCTCTGCTGCCGCAGCTGTGTCCCTGCCTGTCGACGGAGAGGTTCTCTCTTGCACCGCAGGGTTCTGTGGGTCAGGAGGATTGCCCTGCTCACCCTCGTTGTTCATGAGCCCTCTCTTCATAACCATTGCTCCTACCTCTCTCTCCCGTCGTTGTTGCTGGGTCTCCGCAGTCGTCTCCA